AGTTAGATAACTTTTAGTGGCTATTCGCCACATTTGGAAATAATTCCTCAAATTTCCTCAAATGTTTTTGAAGATTTTCGTAATTCAAAATAAACGCTTCCTTTCATATTCCAAAAGACCGATAGCATAACAAATACAATATCCATGAGGCTCGTCTTCCAAGCTGTCATCCCCTTCACGAAAACGTCGAAACCATTCCTGGCAGGTCCTTTCACTCAAAATGTTTTCTCCGAATGCTTCACAAAGCTTCCGGTGCGACTTCGATGCTGATTTCTTCATTTTGAAGTCATAGAGAAGACACGCCCGCAACACGAGTTTTTGATCCGTCATCTTGGACCCAAGATTATGTAATATTTAATGATAGCAATAGTTGTGAAAATAATTAAAATGAATAAGCAATAATAATACAGTATAATACAATTTAAACCGAACCATCACACTTTCAAATAAAAAAAACTTTGGTCCTCGGAAGTCATCCGCAGTTTCTTTTGCAAGTACCTAATATTTGAAAAACGATCGTCACTTTCGCGCGTCTATGCAGTCGCCCATGGAAATATTGTTGAAAGCAATCTAGAGAATAAATTTACTAATGTTAATTTTTGTTTTTTCGATGAAAAGTTTTTTAAACCATGAGTTTTATTGGGTCGGGCAATTTTGGGTCACCTTGTACATTACGATACAGTACAGTTATTAGAACCAGCTTTGTTCTAGTCCTGAATAGGTTATTTAGTAGTCTGTTTCTAACTGGATAGTGTTCCTCTCTTTTCTGAAATGTGAGAATTTGATTGGTACTTGTTTGTTGCACTTCTTGACCAAATTTGCATTTAAATTAATGAAACTCAAGCGTCACAGTATCCTTAAGTTACACAATTTCCATATTATCTCTGATTTACATTCTGGATAAGACTGCTTTTCTGCCTTTCTGTCAATTTTGCAACTTTGTTTGAAAACGCCACTTTTCTGGATCCTCGAGCGGATCCAGAAAAGTGGATCCGCTTGAGGATCCAGACTTCTGGACTTTCTAAATCTCTTTCTCTTTCTTTTTCTATCGTAATCTTGTCTTTCTTTTTTTATCCAACCTATCTACTTTTTCGGGGGTGGAACAAATGCGAGCTTCTTTTGCGCACCTGGACATTTGCGCGCCTTTTTTTTGCTGGAAAAGGCCTTAGGAAAGGTCGTAGAGCTTCAAAAATGTTTCCAATAAGGGAATCGTATGCGTAGATTCCGTATTTCGACAAATCAGACCTCGCTGACACGCCAAATTTGGGCTAAAAGGCAAAAACTACGCAACTTAAAGCTTTTCCGTAGCTTTTTACTTCTACTTTTTCTGATTCTGCGAGGGTTTACAAAGGATATCGAAAAATGCAAGAAAGTAAATAGATTCGATAAAAATTTGAGGCTAAAACCCTTTTCCGTTCTGGTTCTGTCTTATTTTAATCTTTTTTTTTGTCTGAAAGATAATTTATTGTCAATAAATATCGACTTCATGAACATATTTCAACTGAATTTAGTCTTTTCTCAAAAAATTCCCCACCAAAACCGCAAATATTGACCGATTTGTTATCAGATGAAACATTGAAAAAGGGTACGAAAAGCAGAATTGTCAAAGGAATCACGAAATGAATGAAATGGAAAGAAAAGAAATAAAAGAATACCCTTTGTCCCTGAAATGAATTGGCGGTGATCACGAGAGTTCAACAAAAGAGTTCAGCAACAAAATTTCTTATTTGCATCATGGGATCAGTCCTTAAATTTGGACTCAAATGTTCGATTGCAAGAATGGAAACGAGCAAGAACACTGTAGAAAGTGCTGAGACCACAATGATACTGTGCACGTGATAGTTAATAGATACCGTAGCTGATGCTGTTGCACGTAGACATGAATTCGTCCAGCTCACTAGACTGGATTGAACCTGAACGATCTAGCAATTCTGGAGCTCTTGTAGAACAGTAAAGCAACCACGATTCTCGTTTAGTGAACATTTTTGAAATTGAGTTTTTTATGAACACGTTGATTTCAACAACTGTTATCCGTTAAGAAAATTGTTTTGAAACTTGTCTGCTGACTAGTGAGTAATCAACGATTTTCCTTGACAGACCAGCCTGAAGTTTTATTATCAAAAGAAAAATGGCGCCAGAGTGCATTCAAAGGGAAATCCGAGACCAATAATCATTTTGAATTGATGAAATTAGCATTGAGCTTGTGAAATAAACACTGAAAGAACATTCACGCCATCCAGATCATAACACGCAAGGATTGAATCAATCAAATGACGATCGACACTCCTTCTCAGGGTAGGCCAGATTGTTGGGTGCATCGGCTTCCGGTAAACCTTCTACGACAATGTGCTATTCCGGTCTAAACTTCTTCACTAGGCCAATGTCCTCAAAAATAGGGGCGAGTTTTGATGGCTCGATTGGAAGAGGATGTAGTGGGTGATGCAGATTTCTCCTCATCCTCATTTTCTCCATCACTAGTAGTCGCTCTGTAACCTCAAACTTGTGTAATTAAGCCTTGTGTTTGTAAACTAAAAACTTTCAGTCCTGAAATTAGTTGTCGTTGTGGTTCAGATACAAAACAGGCTTGCAATTGTTGACCGTTTAGTGAACTTGTTTTCAAGGTGTGCTTTGTGTGCTCAAAAATCGGGAACCCAAACTTTCTGGTGCACTAATCTTTCATTGATTAGCTTCGGCAAAATATTTGTGCAAGAGAACTTGAAAATCGAGTCCACCAGAGAAGATGTGTTTAGAATTTTGGGCACAAAGTATACTCGAAGGTCTAGTGTCAATCCAAAACTTGCACACTTCACAATGCCCTAATTTTCCTTCTTTAACACTCAACAAATCACGTCAAGAAGAAGCACACCAGCTACAAAAGCCAAAAAAGAATCGTTGGTCTTGAACTTTTTCTCTTTTCTCCCCAAAATGGCTCCTTTCTGTCTGTGATTCTTCTGCTTTTCGTTCCTTTTTTACCCTAAATGCCTTTTTTTTTAGATGAGAAATCCATATTTAAACACTGAATTTCTTTCCATTCTACAGAATTCAATCTTCTACTTATTCTCAGTCTTCAATCAACTACTCAACAATGCCAAAGTGTGGTGGGTTTAGACATTGCCAAAGTGTTTAGATGTCTGCTTTTAAAATTGGTGAATTTAGAAAGTGTTCGAGTTGATACCGTTCATAAAATTTGACAAGCACCTACAAAAACCTTTTTAGCACACTAACTGAGAATAGTTCCTTCTTTAAAAGAAGCCTTGCTGCACCAGGAAGCGTGTGTTTCCAATTTTGAGCACAAAACTACTATAAAGAGTACCACAAAGGGTTTAAAATACCGTATTATTACTACAAAATTAATGAAATTAAGAAAATTCCTTCTAAAAACTTCCCAAAACCCAAAACCATTCGTCCAATTTCAGAGTGCGATCAAGGAAAGCCATGCACGTGCAAATGCATCGATTGCAAATGTGACAATTGCTCGTGCGCCGATTGCAAATGTTGCAAGAGTGAGTTGGAATGGGAAAATTCTGGAAGATTTGGCTTGGATTCGGGTGTAGAATTGGGTAGAGACGGGTTTAAGACTTGAAATTTTCAAATAACATTAGGAAATCTGGTTCAGAAGATCGAAAGCTCAAATAGCTCAAATTGGTCAAAAATAGCTTTAATTTTAGATGATAATTCGATGTTTTTTATTTTTAAACAAGCTAATCATAGCTTTAATGCTAAACTCTTAAAAAAGAGTAATTTTCAGAGTAGCCATTCTTCAAACAACTGATTGCCCGAATTCCATCGATCCAATCAATTCTGTTAACCTTTAAATAAAGTCTTTTTGAAAACAAAATCATTTTCTGCACAAATATTTCTCTTTTACAAATGAAAAGCGAAAATTTACAGCATTTGATCGATTGTTTTATTTACATTTTGTGATTTGGAGTGAAATCAGTGTTTCTTGTGGCATTCTTTGCCCTATTCTCCTTCTTGACATCCGGAAGCTTCTGAAAATGGGGGAAATAAGGAGATTTTGGAATAAGAATATTCGATTTGATGAAGTCAAGAACTAGAGAAACAATTCAATTCTTGACTTAATCTTTGTCAATCATTCGCACAACTCACTCTTTCCTTGATATCCGCATTCTTTCCAACCACATTTCTCACAATTTGGATTGTTCTTTGGCAAGTGCACGGCCTTCTTGTGGCCCGGCCAGCCCACCCAAAAAAGAAATGGGAATTGAACAGAAATAAGAGCGATTGGTAGAGTTTTCATGACTTGCTTTATCGTGAACGTAATGAAGAAGCCTACAGTATGACAAAATATAAAAATGCAAGACTAAATACCTTTTCTTAATCAAAAGATTCAACAAAAAATGTTCCTAGACTAAAAGCCTAAGCCAAAACCATTGGAATTTTGGACTGGTTTAACAGTGATTCCAATTTCCAAGGCCACACTCGTGGCTTGGTCTATAGCTTTTAGAAATATCCCCAATTCAACCATTGCATGTCTCTTTTTTAAATTTTCATGCCTTTTATCAATGCTGCAAAAGCGGGATCTAAAATTTCTCATTTCAAACGCACTCTTGCAGCATTTGCAATTGCAATTCTTAAAACATTCCAAACTGGTGTGAATTTGAGAGTTTCGTCTTCTAAGGTTGCCCAAATGGTCCACATTGAGATCTGTGGAGTTGGGCGGTCATTCATTTGCTGTAATCAAGCTCGGGAAGTTGGCCTTGCACCAGGTCCTGTACCTGTCCAACTGTGTGTGCACCATCTTGTATAAAAATCCAAGATTGTCCGCGGAACCTTGTATTTGTTCAAGAAAGAACGCCTTTCTTCAGAATCTCGCTTAAATAATAATCCGCGTTAATTTTGACACCCTTTTCAACAAAAAACAGCTTGGTTCGAGTATCGGCAGTCTCCAGCAAAAGCCATGACAGACTTTGGAAGAGATGAACAATTTTACCGATGCTATTAAGTTGCCTAGCAAGTACACGATAGTTTTCTGGGTTATGGGTCGCCTCAATCGTGAATAATTTCCATCCGTAAAATGGGTGTCCAAATGTTCTCCACAAACGGCTCTTGCTAGGTGCGCTTTGCACCAGGTGACTCTCATTTTTTATTAATAGAAAAAACATTAGTTTTCGTTTTTGCCCGATAAACCATTTTCATCGCAAAAAATGGGGAGTGGGACAAATCCGACCTTTTTTTTGCCCACCCGGACATTTGCGCACCTTTTTTTCCGCAACTTGCCCATTAGCGCACCTTTTTTCGCGTTTTAAAAAAGCTCTAAAAGCTAATATTAACCAATTTCTATTCCAGAAGTAATTTTAGGGCGTAGAATCGAAATTTTGACATTTCAAAGCTTGTGGAAACAAACGGACGGAGTTATACAAAGAGAAAAATCGACAATTTTCTGTAATTTGATCTAGCCGTTTTGTCTTTCAAATTGGTTCCACACGCTCTATTATGTCAAAATTTCGATTCTACGCCCTAAAATTACCTAGAAAAACAACTTTTGGAATAGAAATTGGTTAATATTAGCTTTTTAGAGCTTTTTTAAAACGCGAAAAAAGGTGCGCTAATGGGCAAGGTGCGCAAGTGTCCGGGTGCGCAAAAAAAGGTAGCATTTGTCCCACTCCCCAAAAAATGTACTCGCTTAAAGCCTCGATGCAAGAGAAATTCAAAAAATTTCAATCTTAAAACGCGCAATTTGCATTGGTCCGTGATTTAAAAGAAAGTTCTATTCTTTAGATGGCATCATTTCTTCTCATCTCAAACCTTCATCGGAACTCTTCTCAAGATGGGACAAGTCAACATCGACGACATGATAAGCCGCCTTCTCAATGTTGGAATGGCCGCAGAACGTTTGACGACATGCGTGAGTGCTTTTGTTTTGTTTTTGCCACTTTCACGACTAGGTTTCTGGTTTCTTTTGCTTGTTGTAATTGTATCATAGAACGAATTGTATCATAGTAACTTTTTAGCACACTTTAAAAGGCTATTGCGAAATTAAAGAAACGCTAAGAATGTTTCATTTTATTTGTTTCGTTTAGGTTTCGGAAGACGAGCTGAAATCGTTGTGTTGCCTCGCAAAGAATGTCTTTATGTCTCAACCATCACTTGTCGAAGTCGAGCCACCAATTGTTGTTTGCGGCGATATCCACGGACAAGTATTCTTATTCAAAAATACTGTGTCTAATGTTGCTTTTAGTATTCCGACCTCTTGCGCATCTTTGAGAAGACCACCTTTCCACCTGATGCCAATTTCATCTTCTTGGGCGACTATGTCGATCGCGGCCAACAGAATATCGAAACCATCTCGCTCATGTTTTGTTACAAGATCAAGTTAGTGTTTTAATTTTTACGATTATTACGATCTAGCATGAATTGACACTTTTGACACTTTTTTCTACTAGCGTTTATAAATGGCAAATTCCCCAATTGACCTACAATTAGTTCTAAATAGAAAATTTTTATTATGCGTTCTCTATCTTTTTAAGAAAATTTGAGTCCATTCCGAAGCAAATTCAAGTGCAAAAACTCATTTTTCGTAAAATTCGATAAAAAGCTCTACAAAGAAATCGACTGAACAGAGGTTATCCTGAAAATTCGGGAATGTACCTAACTTTTTGCGCTCTATCTTTTATTTATTAACAGCAACATAGGTTTCTGTGGACCAAAGCGCCTAAATTGCATCTATGGGTTGTCGCCCTTTTTTGACTACCCGACTTCGCGTCCCCATAAAAAACATAGACAAAACATTTTCATAAGATTCGAACGTTATTTTGTAGAAAAATAGAAGGTCTTTCTAATGAAGCCAGTTCTAGATCAATTGGTTAATTTGTCATTTATAAACGCTAGTAGAAAAAAGTGTCTAAAGACTTATGGGCCAACCTAATAGTTTGATTTAGGTATCCCGAAAGCTTCTTCATGCTTCGCGGCAATCACGAGTGCTCGGATATCAATCGTGTCTACGGTTTCTACGAGGAGTGCAACCGTCGCTATAAGAGCCAGAGTCTGTGGCAATGCTTCCAAGATACGTTCGATTGGATGCCTCTTTGCGGTCTCATCGCCACTCGCATTCTCTGCATGCACGGTGGACTCTCGCCACGGCTTCAGCAAATCGAACAGCTTCGGTAAGTTTCTTCTGTTATTTGACTATTCAAAGTGTAATTTTAGCAACTTGACTCGTCCTCAAGAACCACACAATCCATCAATGGACTTTGATCTTCTCTGGACTGATCCCGACTACTGGGTTAAGGTATTCCAGCTTGTAGAGTTCTTAACTAAAATTCTTTGTTTAGGGCTGGCAGCCAAATACCCGTGGAGCGTCGTATGTTTTTGGGCAAGATGTGGTGATCGACTTCTGCGACCGGATGGGCATCGATCTCGTCGCTCGTGCTCATCAAGTCGTTCAAGACGGATACGAATTCTTCGCCAACCGGAAAATGGTAAGTGGTCTTTTTCACACAAAATGTTGAAATGATTGGCTTGCATAATCTTTTTACTTTAGGTCACCATCTTCTCTGCACCCCACTATTGCGGACAATTTGACAACTCAGCAGCCACCATGAAGGTATCATATTTCTTCTCAACTTATTCTATAATGGGTGTTAAGTTTAATAGGCTTTTAATTTGTATTTTCTTCAGGTGAACGAGAATCTCCAATGCAGCTTCGATGTGTACCGCCCAACTTCCAAGGTTGTGCGGTAAGTTTCTTCTGTTACTTGACTATTCAAAGTGTAATTTTAGCAGCTTGCCTCCTCCTCAAGACCCACCCGGCACATCAACAGACCTTGATCTTCTCTTGGCTGAACAGGAATAACAACTCGTCTTCTCATCGACGACTCTTCTCTCCTTTTCAATGGTTTCTTCATCATCCCGTCTCCCATTCGATCAAGTAATGCTTAACTTGTGCCCCTGTCATATAAACATTTGTGTCGATTTCCCGGTGACAATAATCTTCTTCTGAGCTTTTTTAATAAAATATAATTGTGAATAATGTAACATTGCTATGAAAGTATCTAAAGTGGAAACATTTGGAGTACCAGCCGTTTGCTCAACATCATAAAACATCTTAAATAAAAGACTTTTTACGGCTTTCATTGTTTGGGACAGTATAGTGGACCTGATCTTACAAAAAGAGCCAATCATAAGCCATCTATGGATTTCTATGAAATTTTATTGCTAAAGTTGATTGATAATCTCTTGATAAAGGGATTATCAACCAATTTTAGCATATCGATTGCACGATAATCGCTTGATAAAGAAATTATCATGCAACTTTTGATCTGAAATCAAGCAAACTGTAACTTTTAACATGCACCTTTTTGAAATCTCCTGATCACCTCGATTAATTTTTCCAATTTCTGGGATGCTGAGTGGGTGAAAACAAACCGCAAAATTTTTATTGATGAGGTGTGGAGTTTATGCTTCGATTTTTGCCTCACTGTAAGCTTTGTGCATCTTGTTTACACATGAAGAGAGACTTTCAAAAGATCAGTGAAAACAAAAGAAATTACAAAAGGAAAGCGAACACCCAAACATATAAATACATCAAGTACACTTGAAATACGAAGAACTTATCCACCTTTAACGATTGATATTTTAAAGCTCAAATTTATCGCGTTTACTCGCTTTATTTTGTTAAACATACCTGCAATTTCGATAGATTCGATAGATAGATTCGAATTGATTGACTAAGTAATTGTCTAAAGTGATTTTTCCATAATTCAATCAGTAAGCACTAGTAATTCTACAGCATTATCCAGTTTATTATACATAAATCTCTCAAAATGTCAAGCTTCTTTCAATTTCTTTTATCCCTTTTTTTTGCTAGAGTTTTTTTCAGTCCCAATCAGAGCCATCAGAGCCAATCAGAGCCATTTTCAGTCCCAATCAGAGCCATTGACCTTTTTGCGTAAAGTATCAAATTCTAAATCGAATGTCCTATTCGATTATAATGAAATAGAATTTTCTGAAAGATGGATTAAAGATCCAGCTTTCCAAATTATCCAGTTTTTAGAAAACGTTGAAATCTAACACATTAATGTGTTAGATTTCTTGACACTTATTTTAAACATTCAAAATTTCAAGCTCAGTTTCTAGCTCATTTCTAGCTGGGACAACGTGATCTCCGGCATTTCGAGCACAGTCTAGTGACTGTTGTTGATGAAATGAGAGAAAAAGGCCCCCAGGGTCGATGTGTGTCGAGAAGCTGTCGTCGCCGAAAGAGAAGCTCTGGGGGACAGTCCCGGGGAAGGGATTGCTGGTGTGTCTAAGGCTCATAGACTGGGTCAATTGTTTGTACGGCTGTGTCCTCCTTATGAGAGACCTCCTTTTCTTTTCTTTTTCCGATCCCTTTCTTTTCCCTTTTCCCCCCACTCACAACACCCATATACAATTCGCGCTTTCACCCCCTTTCCCCCTCACATCCAAACCATCAAACCACTTTCGTTTGCTCCAATTTTACACCATTTTTGTTTCGTTTTCTTTGCTGCTATTGCTCTAATCATTTACAAAATTTCACCTGAATTTTGTTTGCCGCAAGACTTTATTTTGTTTGCCGCATGCTTGACATCTCAGGCTTTCAATTTTTCAGTATTTTATATCTTTCTGCTAGATTTTTAACCAAATCTGTTAAGCTAACTTATCGTAAATCCTGTAATAGCACCCCACCGCCCTCGTACAGTCGCGTAGTCGCAAAAGTTTTTTAGTATTTCATTTTTTTCAAAGCGCCCGTACTTTCAAAAAATGCGTCTTTGGTATCAAAAAATAGCCCTGAATTTCGGCTATTTTTTGATATTCAAACGAACACTGTAGCATAAGCCAGTGTCGAGAAACACTCGTTCAAAGCTAGACTACCCAATACTCCGCACCGTCATTATGGGGGTGGGGTCCAATTACAGTATTTACGGTAATCAACTTTTAAACCTATTCATTATTTGAGTATTGTCAAGTGAATTCTCAGAAATAATCCAGCTTTTCACTAACAAGGGAATGGTCAAGAGTGACCGTGAGATTTCGGCGCCAAAATGAGATGTAAACACCAATCAAATTTGGCGCTTTCGCTTTTGCTAAGGATCGCTAGTTTACGAGAAAAACGGCTTTAAAATCTCAGCATCCACTCGAAAACGAGGCACGCTTCTATAAAAGTCTGCCCAAAATGTGTCCTCGTGGGCAGCACCGGGTAGACTACCATAGCCTCCCATTCTTGCAACCCTGATTCGATTCCCACTAGCGCCATTGTTTCTCCTTTTTTTCAAACTTTATACTTTAGATATTTCAAGGGTTATAGAACTTTTAAACTAAATTAAACCAGTTTATTAGGCGTCTTCACAATCATTGTCTTTCATTTGTCTTTCATTTCATTTGTCTCATCAATCTGCCTTTTCCTTACAGGCTTCTGGATTTATGGATAAAATTGTTGAACAATGGCGAAAAAACTAAAGTTTAAAAGTTCTATAACCCTTGAAATAGACAAAATACAAAATTTGGAAAAAAAGCAAAAAAGGCGCAGGCCAGGGCCGAACTAGGGTCGCAAGAATGGGAGGCGAGGACTCTACCCGGTGCTGCCCATGGGGACACATTTTGGGCAGACTTTTATAGAAGCGTGCCTCGTTTTCGAGTAGATACTAAAATTTAGAGCCGTTTTTTTCGAAAACTTGCGATTCTTGGGAAAATCCGAAGGACCAGCGTACTCGTCATATTTGAGAAGTGTTTGCATCTCATTTTGGTGCCGAAATCTCAAGGTCACTTTCGAATATTCCCTCGTAAAGCTATGAACAAATAATCACATAGCTTTAACAAGGCCAGTACATAAATTTTGGTAATCAGCCTATCCTTGATCGCTTTATATCCCCTATTTATCCATTTTACACAATTATAAATCGTCGAATCTCATTTTTGAGCTTTCAACTAAAGACTTTAGCCTCAAAAAGTCAGAGTTGTTTTGATTCTGAAGTCTGGGACATCCAAGATTCTCAATTACAACCGGTTTTGGTGATCTCCAGGAGATCCGTTCAATCTAATTCATATGACCCGTCTAACTTAATGTTTTCCGGTTTTCAAGTAGCAGAGATCAATTGGCCGATAAACGTTCACGGATTACGTGCATAGCAAACTCGAGAGACACGTCGTGGTCGACACAGGTGTGCACATACGTGTGTTTCGATTGGCATATGAGGCGAAAAAACGAAAGGGGCATCGCAATAAGTTCTCTTTTCTCAGGGTTTTCTCACATCAGGACGGGTCCCGTCTTGGTTGTTGGGAGGGAAAGGGGTGGGTTGTCCCATTCCCTCCACCTAACAGTCCTTCACTTCTATCGATGGGTCCTTTCCCCCTCTTTTCCCTGTTAGCTTCTTTCCTTTCATGAGAGACTCGGAAAGCGTCAAATAGATCTTTTCTCAACCACAGAGATTCTACGATTTGCACCTGTACTTGATAAAGTCATTTGATTTGATTTTGATTTGATTAGAGTTTCGTTTTTGTTAGTGCAATGGGAATAAGCTATTGCGCAGATTTGGTGCCTTTAAATGGCTTATTTTCAACTGCTAATTACTCCTTCCTTAATGATTTTGAGGAGTATTTGTACAGGATGACCAAAAAATAACCCGTCCGGAAGGGTTATTTTTGGGAGAGCCGAGAGCCGAACCAACAACCCTATACTTTGGCGCTGGATTGACGTTGCAAAATAATAGCTCAAGTGCGCGGGAGAGCCGAACCAACAACCCCATACTTTGGCGCGGGATTCATGTCGCGCGCCTTAGACCACTCGGCCACGCTTTCCCCTTATGTTTTTAGTGTATTTTGCAAAATTTCTTTAAAGATGTTATAACTTTTTGTAGAGTTGAGCAAATTTGATGATTTTTGCATCAAAATGTTCGTAAGAGTCTCTAGAATAAAACTTATCCCTTCGTTTTTGGTTCTAGACCCTCGTTGTCGAGTTACAAGCCCCAAATTGCAGGGTACCACCAAATTTCCCATACAAAATGACCAAAAAAACCGCTAAACCTAAATTTAAAAAATTTCTGGCAGAGGGATTTGAAAAATTCCTTCAGATTCAGAATCAGCTCAATTTTCCGCATCTAAAAAAGGTATCCCCAGAAAAATCCGATAGAAAACGCATTTTTGCCTTATTTCGGGCCGATGTGCGTCCTAATAGTCCGTCCTAGGCTCATTTTTTTTTTGCATGGACATTCTATGAATTTTCTGTTATTACTGTTGATTTTCTATAGGCAGCTCAAATTCTAGGTCAAGAATTTCATCTCTGACACTTAAAAGCAATCTAAACAAATCCTGTGGGTCTGGATTACTATTCTTAACTCAAAACTCTTGAACTCTAAACTTTTGATAGTCTTTTGGTAGTTAAAATAAAATTTACATTTATCGTTTTGGCAAATACAAAGTAACAAAAAAAAAACCCGTCCTCATAGTCCGTTCTAGGCTCATATTTCTGTTATTTGGAGACGAAAACGATTGATTTCTTTTCTTAAATGAAAATTCACATCGTTTTCTGTATATGTTGAAGATTTCATGACCATAGCATCGATAGATAATTTTTTATAAACGCTTAAAAATGGCTTGTCAAAAAATAACGAGCCGCAACTCAAATGAAAATAAAAACCTAAAAAATAGCTTTTTTTCTTTGCAGTTTTGCTAAAAGCTAGCTTTTGTTATGTTTAAGTAGATTCAGTTCAAAAAAATATATTAAATACGTTAATATTTTCTATAAGATCATCGAGAAAGGAACTCCGAAAATTGTTGCCTCTTTTTTGAGTAGCCATTTTTAAGTGTTCATAAAAAATTATTTATTGATGCTAT